CAACCACTCCGTCCCCTCCTCACTATGAGAATGCGTATCGGCACTCGAATCGGCGTGAGCAACGAGCTGTTCCTCGACGGGTAGCGGCGCGGCGTGAGCCAGCACCGTTCCCTGCGTAATCACGGCCGGCCGCGACCCGGTATTCAGGACCATAACGAACGGCTCACTGTCCCCCCTCACCATGGTCTGGGCCACCGCTAAGTCGAGGCCCCCTTTAGCTCTGTTAGACGGCCCCAACAGAACTCCCTGTGCCCCCGCATCTGCCCCGAGGGGTTTCCTCAACCGAAGGGGTACCAACATTTGCGAACCCGGGGGCACCCGTACAGTCTGGGTTGCCAGCGCCTGCACCGTCGCATAAACTGTGCGTATCTTAGTAGGACTCTTCAAAAACTCAACCCGCCGTCCCGACGGAAGCTCAATGCAGGCCTGGTCTATGAGAATTTTGATGGGCATTTTAGACAGAAAGTCCGTGCCTAGTAAACAAGGAACGGCCAACGAAGATGATACAAAAATAGGACCCGCCAATTTTATATCGCCAATACAAATAGTCGCCCGAATCTGGCCGATGATTCCCAAAGATCCCCCGTTTGCCGCGTAAAACGGTACGTCCACCGGCAGAAGGGGTCGACATTGGACGGGAAGAATGTTATAAATAAGGTCCGAAATGATAGTGGCCGACGCACCCGTGTCCACAAGCACCCGGACCTCAACCCCGTCAATGTACCCCGTTACCACGGACGACCCGGCCGACGCAGCCACTATCCTGTGGGCCAATTCGGACCATTCGACTGCTTTCGGGCCGTGTACGGACCCCTCTCGCCGAACCGAACCCCCGGTGCCCATACGCGGTCCCCCCACCGCTAAGCGGCGACCCGAACGTGCCGTGCATCTGGACCGAACGTGTGAGGTGCCGCGACTTGCCGGGTTCAGCTGGGATGTCTTTAGGCCCTGGTCGTCGTCCGGACGTGGTCCCGCGGTATGCTGACGTGGGGCCCGGCACCCGGACGCGACGTGGCCCCGAAGGCCGCAGTTGTAGCAGACGACGAGGGACGTCGTAGGTTTCGGTTGCTCCAGCTTGCGGTGTGAACGTGTGGGCGAACGACCTCCCGTTCTCCACTCCCCCAGTCTTGAAACGGCGAAGGCCTCCTCCCGCGGCACAGCAGGCTGAGGGCCGATGATCGTGGCGGCCGGTGCCCCGTTCCCCACCGATGCGCAGACGACCGTCGGCTTTCGCTTTAGGACTTCGTAAGCATGAATACTTGTGGCAATCCCCAGAGAGCAAATGTCCATCTCGTCCGCCGTATTAATGGGAACTCCCAATCCGTGAGCCAACGCCAGCAGCTGCCAGGGCGAGCAGCGCCGTGCGATAGGCGAGCGTTGTTTCTCCAACCACCTTCCGCCGATCGTAGAACTGGTGGCGACAGGTCGAGGGTGGCCCGAACACCTTGGCCATCAGGTGTAGCGCGGCCTGGAGCGTTGAGCGGGACGACCTCGGGGCCGATGTGAAGGCTGCAAGCGCGTCGTCGTCGAGCATCGCTGGCAGCGCGCGCAGGGCAGTGGTGTCGGACCACCCCGACATTTCTTGATGCGCGACGAACCGTCGCTGGAAGGCTCCCCAGTCGCCCCCGTCCGCCTTGAACACCGACAGCGCGGGCAATCGTTGCTGGAGGACTCGATCGCCGTCGTCGTCGTTGGAACGATTTTCCCGCGCGCCGCTGTGGTTGTAGAAGATGTCGGCTCCGTCTGCAGGCGCATAATGGAGATCTCCGGCGCGCGCCGATGACGCGGGCTGCGCTGTGTGGAGATCTCTGGCCACGTGGTGTCCGCGCTTCCCGCCAAGCGGTGGCGGGCCCTCAAAAATGGCGCCAACTCCAAAACTTTTGGCGCGAAACGCCGTCTGGCGGGATCCCTCCAGCCGCGCCGCCTCCTCCAACCCCGCAGCCGTCCCTCCGCCCGCTGGAACGGAGATTTCCGCCAAAATCGCAGCGGCGGCGAGCAGCAACTCCGCCAGGCGGGAGTGTGCGTCCTGCAGGCTGGTGTCGGAGGCAAGCGGAGCATCGGCCATTTCTGTGAAGTGCTGCATCAAAGGCAACTCCTCGTCCTCTCCTCCCGAGGGTGGTGTCCCCGGTACGCCATCGTCTCCCCGGTCTTGCACGTGGGAACGAGAAGTCTTCCTTGTGTCCATTCTCCTTGAAGACAGGTTTTACTTCTGACGCCAGTTGTAAAGTAGTAACTCGGCAGGAGACGACTTCACGGGTAGCACACTCTTTATTTTCACCAACTTGTAGTTACACGGATGACTAACACCCTACTTCGTTACACGGGTGACTAACACCCCACTTAGCTACTCGGGTGACTAACACCCACTTAGCTACATGGGTGACTAACATCCACTCAGCTACATGGGTGACTAACACCCACTCAGCTACACGGGTGACCAACACCCACTCAGCTACTCGGGTGACTAACACCCACTCAGCTATACTGACACGGGCTCTTACGCCCCGTAGCCTTCCGGGACACACCCAGCCGGGGTGCCCGTCTCGGCTCTGGGTACCACCGTCCCGACCCACACGGGCGTCGGACTACGGTCCCCCAGTCTCGGCTCCGAGCCGCACAGGGCCCCGGTCCTCACAAGGACGGCGGGACTAGGGGTCTCGGGCCACTACCTCCTCCACCCCGTCTTCGGTCTTCAACTGGTTAACACTGACCACGAGTGCTCTCGCGCGTCTCCCTTTATACCCCTCCTGCGGACGTCGCTGAGAGCACCCACTTATCTGACCAATCACTGCGCACTCGCTACGATCCTCTTTTCCCAGCTTGTGTCAGCGCGCCTTACCACCGGCGCGCGCGTCCATACCACGCCCACATCGCGTGCCCAACCCCGCGCCCCGTGATCCATCACTGTCGGCGCACGTCAATACCACCACTACATATGGATCTCTGTGTGAGGCTATGGGTCTCTGTGCATGTCTATCGGTCGCTGTGAGTATGGGGTCGCTGTGTGAGTCTGAGTGTCTGTAGGAATGTATGGGTCTCTGTTGGGGTCTATGGGTTTCTGGGTATGGTTGTTTGTGCGAGTCTTACATGCACAAATTTAACTTAAAATGGCCATTGAGGGTTTGCGGAATCCAAGTTGAATATTAAGTTCCCTGCAGTGCAAGCCAGCTCTCTAGTCGTGTCATCAAACAGCCCCCTTAATTCTTTATAATAATAAAATAGACTTAGTCCAGGAAATCCACACTGAGTCACAGTCGGGTCCTGAATTGTTTTTTTTTAAGTTTTCGACGAATGAATGATGAATTCTTACACAAGTGGGGGAAACCGGAGCACCTGGAGAAAACCCACGCATACGAGGGGCAGCACTTTAAACCGTACAGGCAAAAATGGCGATTATCCCACTTTCTGTACTGCCTTCTCCTGGCCAGCCAGCCAGGAGAAGGCACCTCGATGCCCACGGGAAGGGGGTTTCACAACATTCACTGTGTGATCCACTCACCCTTGCTGCCTTGCACTGCTGGATTACAGGCTTGCAACACCACCGCCTGGCGAATAATAGTAATAATTAAAAGTTTTATAGCGCGCACAAGAACGACTCGGAGGCATGAGGAACCACAGCCGTGCAGGAAGGAAGCCACGTGGTGAGCCAGTACCAACAATTGTCCAAGCTCTGCGGTCCTCTATGGAGGCATTATGCGCTAATTAATGACGAGTGTTTATACCAGTGGGGGAAACCGGAGTACCCGGAGAAAACCCATGCGTGCGAGGGTGAAACACTCTATCCCTGTACAGGTGAAGATGGCGATTAGTCTACTTGCTCTACTGCCTTCTCCTGGCGAGTCAGGTTATGGCACCTCGACACCCACGGGAAGGTGATTTGCCAACATCATTGTGCGGTGATTCACCAACCCTCGCTACCTTCCACAGTGCTGGATTAGAGACGTGCGCTACCAACACGAGGCGAATGATAACAATAATAATAACTTTCTACTTCTAACTTGATAACAATAGGCGAAAAATAACAACAGGCAAATGATAACGACAGGTGAATGAGAACAGTCATTATCATTTCCACTTAGAACTTGATAACAATAATTATTTCTACTTTTAACGAAATAACAATTATTTCTACTTATAACGTGATTACAACAATAATAACTATTTTTACTTTCAACTTAATAACAGGCGAATGATAACAGGCAAATGATAAAAACAGGCACCACATCTACGCTTCTATATAAGGAACGAAACAGGTGAATGTCTCCACAAATCTGGCTGTTGCCTGATGAAGCTAGTTGTAATTACTGGCGAAACGTCGTACTCAGATTGTAAATGTTGTGGCTTGACTCTCCAACACACCGTGTGCTGTACTAGTTACAAATTGGCATGTTCTGCGTACGTGACAACCCTTACTAGTTGGCTGTGTCGGGTGGTGGTGGGTTTTAACGACACATTTATATATTTACGCGATCTAACCCAAAAAAGAAACCTCTATTATGGATGATATTGGTCGCGAAAGTCTACGTGTTCAACAAACCCGAAGGAATCAGAGGAAAATCGACGTGACCACGGGAGAAGATGCAAATTCCAAATATACAGACATCAGGGTTGGGGTCAAACCTACGAATTCCAATATACCAGTTTAACACGTCGTCTTTCGCGAGGGAGTTTGCATCTCGCCACTGTGGCGCCTCACTATCTGACTCACCCAACCACTAAACTACGAAAGCCACCCACACACTCACTCATCCACTCACCGTGCCACCCACTCAACCGCTAACTCACTTGCTCATGCACACACACAGCCACTCAAGAACATACCTGTGCACCCACCTACACACCCACTCATTAACTCAACGACCCACCTACCAACCCACTCACTCACTCACTCTAGACTCCACTCACCCACCCACTCACCTATTCACTCCCCCACTCACACACCCACCCATCCACCCACCCACTCTCTAACTCAAACACTCACCCACCAACCCAACCACCCACTCAATCAATCACCCATCAACCACTCACCCACCCAATAAACGAAAACTGAACTATTTCTCATTGTACCAGCTAAGGCCCACAGAGCTATATAGATCTTTTTCAAAAGCGACCTTGTTACAAATTACAGGTAAACAAAGTGACTTACCACTTACACATGCATTGCAGCCAAATCCTCTGAATGCAAGTTTATTCTCAATGCAGAGGGAAAACTCAGTGCACCTGGAAAAAAATCCACACGACCACGAGGAGAACAAGCACAATCAAATATACTTGCGACAGGGTTGGGATCGAATCGACAACCTCCTGTATACACTAGGTGAGGAAGTTACCATCTCACCCCCGTGGCACCCCATTCTCTGACTCACTCACTCAAACACCCACCCATTCACCTATTCACGCACACCACTTACTCAAATACCCACCCTCTCACTCAATAACCCATCCACTCACTCATGAACCCACTGAAGCACTCACCCATACAAAAACCCACTCACCCACTCACTCACCGACTCACTCACCCATGAAATCGCACACCCATCTTCTCAACCACTCAGCCAGCCACCCACTCAATCTCATACCCACTAACCCTCTCACTTCCTCACCAACCTACCAACCCACCAGCGACGAGGCAGAGCCTCACCTGTCATACTCCAATGACAATAGTTGTTATGAAAAGTAAAAAAAAGAGAATAATAAAATAAAAATTAAGATTTTTCCACTGATCTGTGTTATAAATGTCATTTCTGTACGATTCCAATAATTTTTATAGTCAAAATCGCCAAATTTGCGGAGCTCCGCTGCAAATACAGGAAGAGACGAGAGTTGAGGCAGCGACGAGCTCAGCCTCCCCTGATTACGCAACCCCTCAGTAACTGGATGGAGCGCGGGCAATAAGCGCGTGCCTGTTACTATCTCAGTATGTATTTAGGTTCTAGATTTGAAGGTTTCGTGACTGCAAGGATTCATACTCTTAGTTCTTTCGGTAAAGTCACGTGGGTAAAATTAATAAAATAAAACAATCAGACGCCATCCAGACATCCACCCTGCGTCCTTCCCTGTGGAAGAGGTATGTGGATGACACTTTCGTCATTTGGCCACATGGCCTCCCAGCATTGAACCACTTCTTGGACCACATCAATTCCAGACATCCATCGATCAGATTCACCATGGAAGTGGAGAAAGATGGCAAACTACCATTCTTAGATATTCTGTTTGAGAGGAGACCTGACGAATCCTTGGGACATTCTGTTTACAGGAAAGCCACCCACACAGATTCCTACTTGAAACCGGATTCTCACCACCACCCATCTCAAAAGAATTCTCTCATCAAAACGCTATACCACAGAGCTCATGGCATTTCTGACCAACACCACCTGGCCAGTGAATTGAGACATGTACATCGGGCCCTCAGGATGAACGGATACTCTGACCGCACCATCCGCCAAGCTGTTTCTCCCACCATACAGAAACAGCCACATGAAACTCCGATCAAAACTGTCACGTTACCATACATAGCAGGCATGACCAAAAAGATCTCCAAAATTCTAAAAAACATAAGATCCAAGTCCGATTCAGTACAGTACATAAAATCCGTGATCTAATTCCATCTGTGAAGGATGTCATCCCTGACTTGCAATACCCTGGAGTCTATAAACTGAGTTGCAGCTGTGGTGACTGTTACATTGGGGAAACGAAACGTCATGTCTCTGATCGTGTCCGCGAGCACAAGTCAGATTTGAAACACGGCAAAATTGAGTCGTCCGCCGTTGCCGATCATTGCTACAACTCGGTGGGCTCTCATGACATTGTTTTCTCCGAGACTAAGGTGCTCTGCAAGCCTTCTGGCTACCATCAAAGGTTTGTACACGAAGCCATTCAGATATACAAACACAGACATAATTTCAACCGTGATGATGGGTACAAACTTAGTAATCATTGGAAAGATGTTATCAACCATGCAAAAAAGATTTAATTACACATTTTTGGACCATCTTATCTGACAGGCACTATTTTACTTCACCGAGTGTTAACATCCCTAACGTTTAACAGTACTCTTTATTGTCAGCCAACACTGGTATAAACATGGGCATTTCCGCTCCTTTTCTATTATGTACATCCACAGTTACTTGCGCAACACGTCCCTGACCACGAGTCCATTCATCCCACAGTGACTTGCCACAAACAGCAAAACCAAGAGCGGCTTCATCGTATCTAATTCATTTACCCACCCAGCAGTATAACAAAAGCAGAAATTGGCCATTTCACAACTCTTCCTCCCCCGCTGCCCTTCCTGGCTCCTCCCCCCTTAACCACTATATAAGGTACAGATAGTTTGCTGTGACGGTTTCACCTGAAGACGGAAGCTTGTGTTGCCTCCGAAACGTCGTGATTTTTATTGTTTTATTTTTATTAATTTTACCCACGTGACTTTACCGAAAGAACTAAGAGTATAAAGATATTTAGGCTCGCTGGTCTCGTCATGAAACTGCAATGAAAAAGCACCAGGGGAGGCAGCCATCACATTTGCCTCACTGAGGGGGATGCGTCTAACACGCCCCCCTCCGTGAGGCCACGTCCCCCTCAGTGTGTGAATCTGGCTCTGACACAAGCCAGTGCCTCCCCAGCCATTGACCTCACCACACGTCACTGCAACCCACCCACCTATCTACTCACTCAACCACCCACCCAGTCGATCATCCACCCACTAACACTCACCCACCCAACAACTCACTAACCTACCCAGCACTCACTCACCGAGCCAGTCAATCTCTAACCCACCAACTCACTTTTAAACTGACTCTCTCAACTACAACTCACCCAGTCACTAACCCACTCACTCAATTTATAACCCACCCACTACCCACGTAACCTCCTACCCACACACTCACTCATCCACAAACCCACTCACCACCTCACTCATCCATCCACTCACATACTCACCCAGCCACTCACCTACTCACCCAGTCACATACACATCCACTCACCATGCCACCCACTCAATTTCTAACCCACCCACTCGCCCAACCACTCCCTCAGCAACTCACCCACTAACCACGTAATTATTCACCCACCCACCCATCACTCAACCACCCAATAATTCAACCACCAAAACATTCCACCACCCACTAACTCAACCACCCACTACCACCCACTAACTCAACCACCGAGCCACTCACACTCACCCACTCACCCACCCACCCACGCACTCACCTGCCCACTCACCAACACACTAAACTAAATCTAAATTGTGGTTATTTTACCAGGTAAGGCCGACAAAGCTAAACATATTTTTCAGAAATTACCTGGTTAAAAATTATAGGTCAACGAAGTGGCTTATGACATGTATTGCATCCAAATCCTATAAATGCTTGTTGATTTTAAATGTGGAGGGAAATATACAGGTGTCAGGGTCAGGATCAAACCCACAACCTTCTGCATACCAGGCGAGGTAGTTAACATCTCGCCACCATGGCGCCCCACTGTCTGACTCTCCCACCCACTAACCCACACACTCACCCACTCATTCAATCACCCACTCACTCACTCAACTACTGAGCCATTCATACACTGACCCACTCACTAAGCCACCCACTCAATTTCTAACTCACACTCATGCACCCAACCACTCACTCACTCAGCGACTCACCTACGACGCATCAACCCATCCACTCACTCATCCACCCACGCACCCACCCACGCACGCACGCACCCACTCATCCACACAATAAACAAATATTTAATTGTTTTTCATTTTACTGGGTAAGGCCCTGAGCTATAGATCTTTGTCGGAAGCCACCTCAGCACAAATGACAGTTCAATTAAGTGGCTTTTCACGTAGAATGTTATTGCAACCAAATTATATAAATGCATGTTCACATGTGGAGGGACAACCTGGAGAAAATTCCACACGACCACGGGGAGAACATAGAAACTCCAAATATCCAAGCGGAAGGGCTGGGATAAAATCCACAACCTCCTGTATACTAGGCGAGGTAGTTAACATCTCGGCACCATGGTGCCTCACTCTCCGATTCACCCACCCACTAACACACGAACTCTCCTCCCATATTCACACACCCATCTACCCAAAAACTCAACCACCCACACATTCACGCAACAATCCACTCACCCACCCACTCACTTTATTCACCCACCCACTAAACCATGCACCTGTCCACTCACCTATTCATCCACCCACTCACACACCCATTAAGCAACCCACCCACTTACCCTGCCACCCACTCAATCTCTAACCGACTCACTCACCCAGCCACGCAATCTCGAACCCACCAATTCACTAATCCTCTCACCAACTCACCAACCCACCTCTCACCCACTCCCACACCCACTCACGCGCTGACCCACCCACTCACTCACCTCAACCATTCACAAACCCACCCACTCACTCATTCACCCAACCACCCACCCACCACCCACTCAATCTCTAAACCCATTCACCCACCCACCCACCCACTCAGCCACCCACTAACTCTCCCAATCAATCTCTAACCCACTCACCTACCCACCCACCCACCCACTCACCCAACCACTCGTCTATTCACTCCGAAACAACACACCCACTCACGTCACCCATGGCTTACCCTATCACCCACAATCTCTAACACACTCACAGACCCACCCAGTTAATCACCCACTCTATATGTAGTCCTTACCTCTTCTGGTAATGTGAGATATTCTTTTACCAGGTAAGGCCCACTGAGCTATAAAGATTATTTTCAGAAGCATCCTCGCCACAAATGATGGTTCAACAAAGTCGCTGTATACATTTATTGCACCCAATTCCTCTTATTACATGTTTCTAAATGTGGAGTGAAATATACAGGCGTCAGGGTCGGGATCGAACCCACAACATTCTGTATAGTAGGCAAGGTAGTTAACATCTTGCCACCGTGGCGCTCAATTCTTTGACTCACCCACTCAACTACTAAAGCCACCCACTAACCGACTCACAAACCCACTCACCCTGCCACGCACTCAATTTATAACCCACTCACTAAACCACTCATCCACGTACCCACCTACACATGCACTCACCAACTCACTCACCCAACAACCCACCCACCCACTCACTGACCAACTCACGCACCAACCCAACCACTCACACTATGACCTACTCCATATCTAACCCAACAACTCACTCACCCAGCACCTCACCTACTAACCTAACCACCCACCAACTCACTCACCCACCTACGCAC